CTGCAGCACAGTCCTCCCTGGGGCCGCCACCATCTTGGGGGCGACCCCCAGCACGGGGGCCCCAGGTGAGGCAGGCACGGCCCGTGCCAACGGCCAGGGGCGTTCCGGGGTGCTACCCACGGGTGCTGGGCACCGGGGCCAGGTGGGGCTGTGGGCCCCACAGCCTGCTTCCACGAGTTGCTCCTTTCCTGCCGGGAAGGTACCCAGGCTCTGGGGGCTTGACTTCCTCTCCCTCCGACTCCTCCTCCTCTTCTTCCTCCTGGGGTTCCGGGCTCAGAACTTCAGACAATTCCCACGATTCCCACGGGAGGCTGGAGACTGGAGCTCTGAGGGGGGAGCACGAGAGACGGGGGCAGGAAGGAAGAGACCCATCTGTCACCTGGTTCCTGAAAGGCAGCACCGAGAAGGGGTGACAGATCAGCGTGGAGGCTCAGAGCTGCCCCTCTAAGTTCCAGCACAGGCCCCCAGTCCCTTTTCCACCTCCTCCCAGGGGTCCTGTGCCAGCAGCACTCTGGGGTCCCTGTTATATACAAGAAGGGAGGTGGTAGGTGGCAAGAGAGGGAGGGGGCTGGAGGGCCTGGAAGGAGGGAGACGGGAGAAACAAGGAAGTGGGGGTAGGAGGAACAGTCTTAAGACAGTAGGCAGAGAAGGGAGACTGGAGAGTTAACGGGTCAGGTCCGCATACACACGCACACACACACACACACATCCCAGCACACTCGTGTCCATGCTCGTCCACCTCCCTGCACAACCACGTGCCCCTACATGAGCCGGAACTCCACGGCATGCACACAGACAGGTGTGTAACACACACACACAAGCACACCTACAGTCTTGTGTATGACAACGGGCCCGTACACACATGGCCACGTACCTAAGCAGCCACCCTCCAATCCAGAAAAGAATTAAGAAGCCCAGCAAAATGCCTCCTCTCCTCCATGCCCAAAGATAAATAATTCATTTGTTGTGTAACTGCTCTTGTTCCAAAAATAATTCCCTTGACTTGGCTTCCTTGGGGGAGGGGGAGCAGAGCATGGCTGTGGGGCCCCCCAGGAAGGGGGATGCAGAGGCTGGGGTCTCCCGCAGTTGGAGGGCACAAGATGAGCTCATCCTGCAGGCAGGAGCAGAGCCCAAAGAAAGAGAGGGAGAGACTCTGGGAAGCCAGACACAGCGCCGATATCCCCTCCCGCAAGTGCTTTCCAGTAGAGGGCCCAGATCCTGCAGGGGGCCTCAGGCAGGGGAAGAAGCCAGAAGCGTCTGGAATCGTGTGTCCAGAGCCCAGTATCCCCTCAATGGCTGGAGATCAGAGGACCAGAGATGGGCAGGGACCTGCCTGGAGTCACACAACCGCCTGGGCCGGGATTGAGGCTCCAGAGTCAGCAGGTCTGGAGCCCAGTCCACCCTGCCCAATTACCCAGGTGGAGCATACCACCTCTGAGTCTGTTTCTACATCTCTATAGCGGGGACCATGGCCCTGCCTGGCCATCTGATGGAGGTAGACGTAAAGTGGGCATGCTGCCCCTGCTCAGGATGCAGAGGGGCAGGAGAGGCGGTGCAGGGCTGCCAAGCCCACGGACCCTCATTTTCCAAGTGGGGAAACTGAACCCCAGTCTCAGGGGGACTTGCCTCGGTCACCCAGCAGGCTAGACACGGCCACTCATCCAGATCAGTCTCGAGCTTACACCCGGTGCTCTGCTGACTGCAGGAAGGGCTCGGTCCTCCCTCCCTCCACCCTAGGCAGTGGCCAGGGATATGAAGATTAGGGAGAGAAATCCATGTTTGGGTAAAGAAAGCCGAAGACTATCATGAGAGCCACCTCTGCCTCCTGCTCCTCCTCCTGGGAAACTCCAGGAGAGAGCGCTTTAGAAAAAATGTTAAACCTTTGCTGTTAAAGCAAAAGCAATTTACAGTCCTGAGCCCCAGAAGGCTGGGACAGAGGCAAGGGACGTGAAGAGGGATAAAAGTCCCTAAAGAAGCCCAGGCAAGCAGCCTTTGTCGAGGTGGCAAGTGAGCAGGGCATCCAGGTGACCCCTCAGATGAAAGGCTGATGCAGCGTCAGAGGCTGTTGATGATCAAGGTCTTCAGGGGAGTCAGCCTCACACCTCCCGGTCCCCTGCACGGCCAGCTTGGGCTGAGAGGCCGGACAGTGGGCAGGGAGGGGATAACCACGAGGCTGTCAGGCAAGAAGGGTACACAGGCAGCAGAGAGCATTTTTGTCCTTGGCTGTGTCATCCAGTCTCAGGGCTGCAGTCAGGAGTCCTGGGCTCCCGTCCAATGTGGCCACTGGCTCCTAGGGGGCCTCAGGCCAGTCCTCCCCCACTCAGGGCCTCAGTTCCCCTCCTCCTCAGGCATAGAGGTTACACTCGGGGAGGCTGAGTTGCCAAGATCGCTCTGTCAGAGAATCCTCCAACTGCGCCTCCTCCGACTGGGAATGTCTGGGGATCGCATTTGTATGCAGGTGCACACACAGGTGCGTGCCGGCTCGGAGCACCAGAGCAGGGGTGTGCTGACGTGTACGAGCCGATGGGTATGCGGGCAGGCGTGCTTGCACACGTATGTCCCTGTGCACAGGATGTGTGCCTCTGTGGCCAGCTACAGGAGTGCTCTCGAGTGAACGAGGGCATGCCCGTGTGGAGGGTGGGAAGAGATGTGTCTCAGGGGAACACAGGCACACACTTGCCTGTATGTCAGCATGTTAAGCACACGTGTGTTTTACAGGACTATGTGTGTGAGTATGTACGCACATGCGCAATTTTAGCTGCATCGAGCGCCCCCTATCTTCAGATCTGAGTTGCTCAAACCAGCACCTGCTCAGCCAGGCTGCGGCAAAGCTGAGCTGGCCTGAGCCTCAGAAATCCCAGACCAGGCTGAGAGTGTATGAAGAAGCAGAGGGGAGGGGAGTAGGAGAAGGTGACCAGGCTGTGGGGGAAGGGTGCTGCACTAGCCCTGGCCCACCTCTTCCCTTCCCAGTCCAGGGGGCACAGAGGCGTACCATGGCCCTACCCCAGCCACCCTGAGCTCTGCCCACCTGGTCCCCCAAGGTGACCCTGCCCTCTCTCCTGTTCCTTCTGGTCTCCAGGATGACTTGGGCCAGGGCCCAGCTCCCCCCACCCCCCATCCTCCCCCGTGACTCAGACAGAGCCGGAGGAAGCTCCCCATCACCCTGTCCTGTGTGCGTCAGCCTCCTGTCCCTGTCCCTGGGCTGCCTGCCCACCACCCATCGAGGCCTGACACAGCCAGGGAGCAGGGATAGCAAGGCCAGGAAGGCACTGACAGCAGCACTTGGTCCCTGGCTGGGCTGCACACCCACTGGAGGTGCGGGGAGGGGTATGCCGGCTGCCCTCCTGTCAGGCCCGAGGCTGAGGGTCCTGGGGGACACACCCTTCCCCTGCTCCCTCAGAGTGATGCTCCAGCACAGACGCTGGTGGGAGGAGCTTGGTCCAACCCCATACACACTAGGGGAGGGGGGCAGGTGAGAGAGAGAAAGGTAGTGAGGGAGCTGCAGACAGGAGGCAAGAGCTGAGGAGGAGAGAAAAGCAAAAATATGGAGACAGTTGAGCAGGGAGAGGCAGAGGAATTGAGATAAATGGAGAGGGCACATCTGACACAGAGAAATCGATCTGCAGAAAAGCACAGCAAAATGACAAATACAGGGAGTGCAAAGGAGGGGACCCAGTGCCTGCTGCCCACTCCGCCCACCCACCTAGGGGCCAGGGAGACAGATGAGCACTGAGCCTGGCTGAGCCACCAAAATGCAGCCTGTGACCAGCCCAGAGCGGGGGTGGGGAGCAGCAGCTAGCAGCTGTTGGAAGCAGAGGTCTTTCTGGCCTGGGACCTAAACAGCACTACCCCTGGGAGGCTGGGGCCCCGCAGGGAAGCAGGCTGTGGGCCAGTGGCAGTGGCGGGTTGGCCCGGGTGCCAGGGCTTGTTGGACAAAGAGCTGCGCTCCCAGCTGACCTGCCCTGAAAGGACCCCTCCCCCCAACACCCATCCCCTCCCCCCAACACCCATCCCCTCCCCAACTCAGCCCCTTTGCAACATGGGTCCTTCTCCCGCCACCACAGCGAGAAGGAACACGGCACAGTGGAGGAGCAGCATGCTGTTGAGGGGTCTTGGGGCAGGCCCCCAGCTGAGCTGGCTACACACTGCACAATGCCCGCTCTCCCGGGGACACCCCTGGAAGGAGAGGAGGGAGAAGGGTCGGCGAGACCCTACAGGTCTGAGGGGCAGAGCTGAGTTGGTGAGGGGTTCTGTTCAGAGCTGGGCATGGCCACGGAATGTCTGAGTCACTCTGGACAAAGACTTCCTCTCGCTGGGCCTCAGCACCTGCCTCCCGAAGTCATCGGTTGACCCAGCTGGATTCCGTGCCCTTCTCCAGGTGCCACGAGGTTCAGGGCCCCTCCATGGACTCCGAATCCCGGGGCCTCAGAGCAGCAGGGATGAGAAGCCCTAGCTCTGCCCAATGCCAGCCACCGTCAGAGGAGGAACTGAGGCCAGGGAAGCGACCTGTTCAGCTAGTGGGAGGTCAGCCCAGGACCCAGGGGGGCAGCGACAGACCCTCATCTGCCAACTTCGAATCCCCTCTGGGAGCTCACTGCCCCCAGACCTGGGCTCCCCACTCAGCTAACCCAGGACACCCAGGTTTTTATCATTTCCTCACAACCTTCATCACCTAAGATTAGGGTTCCCCTGGACTCAGGCTCCCTGAGCCCCTGGGCCACATCCCCCAGACCCCTCCACTGCAGGCTGACCATCCCGCTCCCCAGGCAGAGGGGAGCCTTGGCCTCTCTGCTCCAGGCTGGGGGGCTGTGAGGTTCAGAGGGTCATGGGGCTGCCTACCCTGCCTGGGCTCGGCGAGCAGACGGACAGGAGGTCCGCCTGTGTGGTCCCTGGCAGAGGGCAGAAGGGGCAGGGGATGGGGGAGCGGGAGTCAGCCGGGAAGACACCGGACCAACTGCCAGCTCTGAGACCTTGGGCAAGTTGCAGGCCCCTCCAAACGTCAGTTTCTCCACCTGTGTGGCAAGGTGAGTGCCTCCCATCTCCTCAGGCTCTCACGGAACCCCAGGACACCGTGGAGACAAACATGCTGCGCACAGGGCAGGGGGCCCGGTGAATACAGGGCTCCTGCTCCTGAGACCACACTCTGAGGGACTGTTGGTGAGGCCTGTGAGCAGGTGGGGAGATGCCATCCGTTATTCCGACCTCCCAGGAGCAGGGACGTGAGGCTCAGCCAGGGAAATCTCATTTGCAGCAGCTGATCAGCCCTGGCACGGGCTCCTTCCTGGGCCAGGCGGGCCAAGGCTCCCCGAGGTGTCATTGTTACAGTCTGTGTCAATGCCATTACCCAGGATTAGGAGGACCAAGGACTCCTGGGGCCCAGCCAGAA